GAATAGTGAGCAAAGAATATATATTATTATAGTAATATACGTGCCTAACAAATGATTTCACTCTTAATATTTCGAAGATCTATAATATATTTATATTATATTTATCATATTCATTGCTAATCTTTTTAGAGGTATTTTACGTAATGTTGAAAATATTTCAAACATAAGATTTTTTTATTTTGCATCATATAAGGAAAAATGATTATATACTATTTAGAATATATTATATAGAATATTCCATTTTATTATATATAAATTTTTCGAAATATATATAATAATATTAAATAATATTATATTATTACAGTTGCATTATGGCAACAAATTTCTAATTCAGTAAAGCAATATTAAAAAATACGAATTTTACAGAATTAAGATTATATTTTATATTTAATATTTTTGTTTCATTATTTATAAATATTTGTTTAATACTGAGATATAGAAGGATTTCGTGTGTAGATATAGCCTAGAAAACACCCATTTATATATTGCTATTCGAAATTTAAACCATGTATCAAACCACGTGAAAAATTGAAAAAATACATATAATTGAAAAAAATATGTACGCATTTGCGATTTGATTAAATATAATATGTTTAACATTTAAACAAAATTATGAAATATTGTCATTTTTGCCGCATCGTAAGTTCTTTCGCTGTCAACTGTCACGTGAGTGAATGAATAGAAAAAATACTAAAAAATGCGATTGAAATCTTTTGTCAGTTTCGTATATTTTTTGTTTATGTAATTGCAAAATACTTACGATTCTTTGCTGCTTCCAGTCGTTACGAACTCCTTGATTTTTTCTTATTTTCAATTTGTATAAAGAGGCACAGCTTCCGTGATTCGTATCAGATTGTAGGCTTATGAGTATTAAAATTGAAACCGAATCTCCACGTTATCTCACGCATTATGTCAATCGACAAGTTATTAATTTTTTGCTGAATTATGATCGAATAAACCACAAGCAGCCATGTGATTGTATTGATATCTCTTCACAAACATCGTCATTATAAAGGACGAACTATTTGCACTATACACGAACAGTTTGCAGGAGCACGCTCTCTTTATTCCTTCTCAGAAGCACGATCACACGGTAAAACAGACACTGTCCTTGCGGGATAAATGACAAGATGACATATAAAACAGAAGGATGTCACTATCTATTAACCGATCACCTTTACTGTTGTTAGATGATCTCGCGGGAAAATTAGAGAATCGAAAAAGACGCGGATCTCCAGTCCCGAAGCTCTTTATCGCAAACATCCTTGAAAAAAAGCTCTTACAGAGACAGATACTTGTTCTACAGCGCCTACGTGCGGCAATACTAGTAACTTTCTTTCAAAGACATGAACGTAGTTTGTTACTGTTTGAAGACGCCATGTTGACTGCTTCTCTTAAAAGCACCCGACGCGACATCTGCCGATATTTTTTGATAGTTGAATAGAAAGTGTTTCACAGCGGGAAAATAATTGTGTAAACAAATATTAATAAATTTAAAGGAGAAAGTTCAAAATCCAAGAAAAGACATCTTATTCTATGATAATTCAGTAAGTTTACATTTATATTAAATATTACATTGTTACTTTCAAATTGATATATGTAATATTGATTGGAATCGATATATCAATTCATAAATTGTCGACAACTTCATTTCATTAAAAATTTAAAAAGATGAAAGGACTAAATAGAATAAAGTGTATTTTAATGATTGAGTGTGAATTCTTCAATAAATCGTTCAGAAAAAATTTAAATGATATAAAATAAAAACTATTAATGAAATTCTAGAATTATTCCATATTTCTATTGATATTAAATTTTTTATCTTTTCATTTTCTTAATCTTCTCTATTTAATCTTGATCAATAACTCATAAATGTAATAGTTTGTATATTTTATTTAAACAATTTCAATACCTCTTTTAATTAGATATTTTACATAATTCTTTTAATTTTTAACGAATGATAATGTAATAATCAATAACTTAAGTCAAATTATTATATTAATATTATAACATAGAATATAATATACATATATATTGATATAAATATATTTTCCTTCTCTTTCGTTTTTACACTCGTGTTAATCATCTTTTAGCAAATCCAGTTTTTCATCAGTGTCATGAAATACTAATTTTCAACCTTGTATTTTTGAATTTATGTTCGTTCATTCTTGACTTCATAACCTATCTTCACTAAAATAGTTGGCGCAAGAGGAGTAAATTATTCCCAGGCTATTAGGTAAAATCGAAAATGTTTACCTCCTTAATTACGACATTTAAGGTTAGTAATTAGTTTCAGATAAGTTCAACATTGTGAATTAACTAAAAGTTCTTGCAAGAAGAATATTAAAGTTTATTATTTTCGTTGAATTAGTTAGATATATTAATTTTATTAAAAAATCAAATATTATAAATATTTTTTTATTTAAAAGTTATAAATTTTAGGAAAAAATTAAGTTTGATTCTAAAAAGATTGATTTAAAAAGTAGGTTCGTATTTAGGATATCTGTAAAATCAAACACCTAAATATATGTATGCATAGTTATTCTAAAGAATAGTCTATTTCGTCTTTTGGGCAACTCTCGTTTGTACAACTTGTATTTGTACTCTCGTTCTCATCGCTATGCTTTCAACGCCTTTTCTCTTCGTCTCTATTCGAAATATGTTCGTTTCCTTGCTTTCTATAGAATAACCTCAAAACATTTCTCTATTATTCTTTTCTTTGCTTCATATAGCTTAGTCATAGTGTTTATTATCTTTTAAATAATCCGTTAATGTATGAATATTACTAGGTTACATAGTATGCGTTTATGACTATACGAGTTATACATTTTAACTTATTTCATTTCAGTTTTTACAAAAATCATTGTTGGGCCATAATAATAGAAATTTTGAAGAATCATATTTAGAATATAATTGAAATTGATTATAATTTCTTATGTTTCTTGTGAAAAAACATACACAAACATGTATATATGTAAGATTTAATACAATTTTAATAATATCTCGGACAATATTTTTCATTAGCAAACTAAATTGTTTTTTAATATAGTTTTTAATAATTTAATATAGTTTAAAAACAAAGGATTTATTTTGAATACGCATCTCCATCTAGTGGCAGTGATATAACAAATTGCATTATTATGCATAATCTAAATATTTTAATGATAAAACTTTAAATAATTTATATAAAATTGATAATTTATATAATTTAACGAAATTAATTTAATTAAAAAAATTACTAGAATATTTATCTATAATAGTTATTTTTGAAATTGATATTTGCCGCCATTTTTAAGCTATCTCTGAAAATAAGAAAATTGCTTGTAAAAAATAGAATCAATAAAAATATGCATAAGTATCTAATGTATTCTTATAAAATCATGCAAAGAATACATACATGTAAAATTTCTTCTTCGGTTATTAATATTAAAAACAAAAAGAGATAAGGAATATACGAGTATTATTTAATGATAAAGCATAAATAGATATGTATGTATATATTTAACGTATATTATTCAAACACTTAGTAATATTAAGCGATGTTGCACAAACGTTTTGCAACTTTAAAAATGCATCGTACCGAGATTTTTTTTTTGTATTATCATCATACAAAGTAATCATACAAAATTGCCATTAATTTTTACAAACAAAATAAGATTCAAGTCCTTTGATTACTCTCTCATACATTTTTCTAAAAATGTTAATAAAACGACAATTATAATAATTACAAATTCCTTTTCTTATTCGATTCATGTTTTCGAAAATGAAATGCGTCACAGTCTGAATGTTAAATTATAATTGACATTCTTATCACAAATAAAAACATGAACGTTGAGGACAATAATGATTGTACAGTATCATTTTATCTATACGTCTATCTTTTCTACGAAAATAGCTCACTACATCGACTAATGGACAATAAATTTTCGTATATACATGTATATAATGCAACATTGTAATAGTTATAAACACTAATATTCAAAAATAAACATGAATTCTTATATGTCGTGAATATAAACGTGCATTTAAAAAATCAATATACATAAACTAATATGAATATTATATCTATATAGAGGCAAAAACAGTTCTTTTAAAAAGTTTTTAGCATCTCAACGATAACGATTTAAAATATAATAAATTGGAAGCAATTATACATATCTATAATTATATATTCGCAAACGAAGTGTCGAGAGCAAAGTTATCATGGATAAATGTATGTATTATTTAGATATATTCACACTGAATAGCGCAAATTCGATATAAATTATTATGCAAATTTTGACGATAAACATGCTATATGGATATACATATTTTTTTATAATATATGCACCAATGCATGTTTCTAATAGCAAATTACGCTATTTTATTATTATTTCATTAATTTAATTAAGATCATTTTGCTGATAGTATCTATTAATATGTACTTCGGAAGGATAAAATCGATTCTTATTCATTTGTCATCCTAAAGATATTTCAAAAGAAAAGAAAAAATACAGAAACAAAAATCATCGTTGTAACATATTTCTCTTTTAAAAATTACAGTGTAACAAGCGATAATATTAAATGAATAATTAGTATATTCTCTGTTATTGCGTAATTATAAATCTATGTTCTAAATACTCTTCCCGCAAAAAGGAACGAATTTAAAAAATTAATTTTAAATTCGATGAAGTAATAGCCCAGCTATTTAACAACGAATACAATTCGACTATAACTACGTAACAAAAAATTATATTGATTTGTTTTGATTTATCGTCCCCTCAACTATCTTTGATTTTCATGTAAAGTCGTTCAAAAAAGAAAATGATCTTTGACGTACATAGTTAAAATAGTAAAAATTTCTAGATAGATGTACACGCATATCAGCAATATAAAAGTAATATAAAATTGTATACGATATGTTTGAACGAATTGGCACGGATCACGCATCCTACAAAAGGGATTTCAAAAATTGTTCCCATTTCTTAGACACGAAATTAGAAAAAAAACACCTCTTTTTATTGATCCATCAATCCTTCCCGAGCACCGCTCGATATCAATTGTTCTTCGAAGAATATTAAGTGGATGAAAAAGTCATCACAAAAAGAATCACCATACTTTTTTCTCTTCGTCGACTCTATGATATTCGATGAAATATCAATATTAAAAATTAGTCGAGCGATCACAATTAGCACCTTGTTTGTCTCGAATTTTGTCGGAAAAAATACATGTTTCCAGTGACTCGATTGATCGTTTAAAAGTGATATCATAAGTTCGACGATATAACAATTAGTCTATTGCTTGGCTTTCTTCGGTTGGCCGTTATTCGATAGATACTTCCAGAGACCAGTGATTAATGGCACATCTCGGAAGCTATCGGCCGAAGGCTACGCCTGCTACGAGCACATCAAGTCTACGGATCTTGATTCACCCCAAGCGTTTTGTATTTTGAAACCTGTCGTTGACCTCGGTACGACGTGATGTGATGCAGATGTCGTGCTGTGTCTTAAAGTCGTCATGGGGATACTGGTAGCGTTATTCTTCTTTTGTATCTTCTTACCGTCTTCGTCTTCGAAGCAAACCTAGAAATATTGTAAATTAGAGAAATATTAGAAAATTCGTACATTTGATAATTGATTAATTATCCATTGAATACCAGTTCTTGATTAATGCGAATTTAAATACTGCTAATTATACAATGATACTATCATCAATTACAAATTATAAATCAAAATTCAATTAATGAAATCTCATAGGAAATAATATAATTTGGGGAATATGTATCTAATATGGAAAATCTTCTCATTATCTGAAAGAGTTTTTTTTATTTTGCAGATTACACAATCCATGAAATTTTGTATGTAATTTCTCCTCATAGAAAAATAAAAAAAAAATCTTTTTCTATGGATTTGAATTAGAAAAATATTACAAATAAATTTAAATTTAAATTTAAATTTTTCATATAATATTGTTGTATTCAAACATTGTTATATATTAATCTTATATATTTTTTTATATGTACAGAACAATTAATATATAAATTACAATATCATTCTAGAGCGATATTATTCTAGACTGGATTCTAGAAGCAGAAAACAAACGCAAAAGTTAGTTTAAATTTATTTTGGCCTTTGAAATCCAAAGATGTTTCACAGATGTAGCTCGTATCTCTTACGTAATCATATATAATCCATTAATCTGTAAATATATAAAAATATATTTCCAGGAATTTTAATGTTTCATTAAATTGAAACTAACCACCGTATTTCAGATATTAAAGTAATGCAATTGTGCGATTAATTCGTGGAATATATTATTCGCATTAATCAAAACCTAATTGTAAATTGAAATTACGTACCCATGAATTTCCAGCTGCTTTACTCTCGTTCGTTAAATCGATTAAAAGATTTTTCGGTGCGTCATTCGTGTTACGTTGTTGGCCATTGTCTTTGTTCTGCTCGTTAACCTTATCCACAGTCTTCGCGCCTCCTTCGCTCTTTTTCTTCTCGTTGTTTTCTAAAGAAGGGAATTAAAGAATAATCGACAATTTCGACAAAGAATTAAATAAAGGATCAAATCTCGTTTGCATAAATCACGAGAATGAAACTCTTTTCGCATCTCTTTCCTAGATACGCTTTCATTATCGATCCACGTTACATACATTAATGTTCATAAGTCTGTGATACAGGAATAGGAACCTGAACCAAAGTAGGACCCTTGCAAATGAACACTGATTTCTCGTTTGTTGTTAATTGGTAGCTTCGAGTCATCTCGTAATTCTAAACAGTCGTTTGTTAATTACAGACGCATCATTGAATCGATACTCACGTTTCGAGAGAGTAGACTAGTAAAAAAATACACGTGTTTTACGATCAATGCTGGAGAAAAAGATTTTTGAAATGCAAAATAGAAATAAATATTTTTATTTATAGCGGCATAGAATTTCTCGTTGAAACAGTAATTATATAAAGAAATAGATAGAGGTTATAATACAAATATTCTAAATCTAATTAGTTTATATTATAGTTTAATTTACATTACAATAAATTTTTTATATTTTATTAAAAAAATTCATTTGTACGCACATCATTGATTAATTACTTCGTAATCATCATTAATTAAAAATTCATAAATTGCATTCTGAATGGAACGCACACACATAAATCGTATTACAATTAACCGGGGAATAAAATTTCAACGAAATGAGTGAAATTTTAAATATTAATTTAAGAATATGCCACGAATAATAACAGCTAATTTGTTCCTTCGAAGCGCAACAATGTTTGCACAAATGAAGAGAGAGAGCACCCGAGTTGTATAATTGTTCCAGTTTTCGATAGTGTTGTAGTTCGATGTGTACGAGATCCAATATTACCGGACAATTTCCTAGGGTGCACTCGTAACCTTCCGCGAATAACCCTCCGCAATATCCGCACTCTCGGGGAGTTAAGTGCACAACCACACGGATATATATTCCATCTCACAGACACGACTTTTCGCACAGACTTTTACCACAGATCGAATGGTCCAAGATTAAAGCTACCTTTCTTTCTTCACTTATTAAATTTTATAATTCGCCTTTCAATTACCCCTCACTTAATGGATTGATTAACTTAAAGGGTTTGTAGAAAAGAGAAGAAAAAGAGATCGTTACTGGTTTTATATTTTATAAGAGATTCAATTTTGAAATTGATAAAAATAATCGATGAGAGTTTCGTAATCTTTTTAAGTTACGAGGAGATTGAACTTCTATGTTTTATTTTTTATCGGTTATTTGAAATATAAAATTTGGATATATACTGTTTCATTCATGAGTTAGTTAAATATAATTTCATGCTATTTAGTTTCATGTTTAGATCAAAAGCAAATATTATTATATATGTTTAGAATTGGATTCGAAAATAAAAAATAATGGATCAAAATGAGGGGATAGAAATTTTAATACAGCAATTAGATAAAAATCTTATGTAAATATATATATATAGATAATATAATTATATTAATAATAATTAAATAAAATACTTTCAAAATAATATTTGTTTGAATTGATTCAAAATATACATTTGAAATATTATCTCTTTATGTAAATATATATATATATATATCAAAAAAAAGTTCATCTACAAAATTCTACATTGTTCAAACAAGATAAAAATATTTCTATTCCAATCTAATCTGTTTTAAAAATCCATTTTCCTCGATCTTGAATTTTAATTAATTTTAAAATAAGGCTGAAACCAGAAAAATAAATATTTCGAGATAATTTCAACTTTTTTTCTTATAAAGGATTTTTTTAATTTTAAACCAAGTTTCGATTGGTCTGTAATTAAAAAGGGTAAAAAAAAAAGGTTGGGATCGAAAATAATTTACCTACCGTTCCTATCATCAGTTAACGAGGGACTTTTATCCTGAGTGTGATGAATCCTAGGATCGGATTGGGACAGTTGCCAAGCTTCGTAAGCCGTGTTAAAGGCTTGAGCGACCGTTAACGTCACCGTTTGCGCCATTTTTCTTTTCGGGCAGAGGAACGCGTGACACTCCATAGTTTCATTCAAATTTGTTGCGATAAATGCGAACACGTGATCATGAGCCGCATCCGCCGAACAATATGAAATTCTGAAAAGAATTACATTCATGATTGATGATTTTCAAGAATTTTAACACTAATATGCAACGAAACGTGGGAACAATTTTGTTTTTTTCTCTTTCTTATTTATTTTTAACAACTGTTAAAAATAATGTTACTCTTTTATTGTAATGCTCAATAAATATAAAATAAATTTTATATATATTCTTTGAAATATCACGAAAAATTAATATTTTCATTTGATTTTATAAATTATTGCTTTACAATTTTTCAGAAGAATTAGAAAATCAAGAAATAAGTTTGAAAATAAAATTTAAAAATAATCGAAAAATTAAAACTTGAAAGATTTTACAAAAACTATTTTTTGTGTATATTTATGTAGCATATTAAAGGCAAATTTTTCTCACTCCATTGCATATCTGCATAAAATAAAAGAAGAATTAAGATTTTTCACTAAATTTTACTTTTATACTTTTCTTTATACCCTCGATCAAAATTTGCTCGATCCAATTTAAACATCTGATATTAAATAAAACAATATATTGCTAAAATTGTTGCAATTAAACAATAAGCATGAAACACAAATATTGGAAAACTGCAAAACTGTTATTTAAAAGTAAGAGAATTACAATAAAAAAGATATGCTTTAAAAAAAGTATAAATTGAATTGGGCGAAATTAACACAAGCACAAATGCAATTTCCTAACGTTCAATTTGAATATTAATCTTGAATAATAGCATCGCGCTTTTTTCTGAGTGCTTGAAAAAGAAAAAAAAAAAGAAAAAGAAAGAAAGGAAATAACATTTTCAAAAGATAAAAATATGAAATTACAACGAATTGAATAAAGCCTTTCTCGCGTGAAACTGCATACGCATACGAATCGAAACAACATACACGCATTATTTTACATTTTAATTACATTTGAATTACGGTCGTTTATACGAACCACAGGTTAATTAAAGTGACATTAAAAGCGTCAGTGTATTATACCGGATTACTGAAACGGGAGGATATCACGTGATTAAGAAAATATATAGCTCGTGTCGTTGCCACGTCGTTTCTCTTTTCTCCTCTTTTATGGCTCATAAATAATAAAAATAAAAAAAGTTACAATCCTATATAAAAGATAATAATATTACTGTATATAACATTCAATAACAATTCGTTTATTACAAAATAAACTCAAAATTGAAAGTGAATTTTTTAAATGATTTTTCTTCATTTTGCATATATACATTGCAAATATTACACTCAATAAAATTATTCCAAAGATTGATCATAAAATAATTCAACTTTTTTTTTAAATAATTCACCCATTTAGAAATGTTTAACCAACAAAAGTATTTGCTTTTCAAATACTTCATAATTCATAAACAACAACATTACATTATCACATAATCCAATAATAATCATTCCTAACGATTTCTTTCCAATCAAAAGTATAATTCGTTTGTCGTAAAATGCTCGAAATCATGAAAAAAAAAAAAAGCAGCACACACAACGTGGTTGCCTCTGACTATTTCCAACTTTTGAAAGAGGTTGCGCGCAACCACAAACAGGGAAGAGGGGGAAAAAAAGAATCGATAGAAGCTACGGATTTTCCATTCCAACGAAATCGGATATCGAACGATCCATTCGGTAAATCATAGTTTCGAATTAGCAGAGGGAATAATATTCCAGAATCGAATCATGTAACGTTTGCTCGTCGCCGCTGCGTGATATTTCGAATACATTTTAGCCCGAATATCGGATATTACGTTGGCTGACGCACAGGGAAATGTACAACAGGCCAGAACCAACAAATCCGGTTTCGTCCGATTATGGCCTCTCCAATCGTTGACTGACACGTGTGTGTGTGTGTTTCGCAAAGCAGGAAATACTTCGAATATGTTCATGGAGCTTACCTGTATATAGATACCTGGAGCTGATCTTCTTCCGTGGCGAGATCCGTCATTCTAATACCCTTTAAACTCACGGCCAGAGAAACTCGTTGCAGCTTTTTGCCGCTTGCTTTCGCCTATCGAAGAAAAAAAAAGAATACGTTATTGAGAGTTTTTTTTTTCTTTTTTTGATTAAAATGAAGAAAGATTGTTATTATTATCGTTTGAAATATTCGATTAAAAAAGTTTCGAAAATGTTTGAAATTTCTAGCGGAGGATGAAATTACGATCAATATTTGGACTCGTCATTTAGAATTTTTAAGTAACGTATTGTATTTTGTTGAAAATAATTGTAGTATAAACGCGTAATTAATATTGAAATTAAAAAATTGCAGTAGTATTTATAATATCTTGTATAGGAATTTGAAATACACGTATAATTCTTTATTTGTACGGTAGATTGATTTAAAAAAAAAGGAATTTTCGCAAATGAAAACTGTGTAAAAAGAGAATAAAGTGCATACGAAAAAACTGGGGAAAAATCCGATATGGACAATACGATAAATTATTTTCAAACGGAACGGGTATGAAAATAATTGAATAAAAATGTATTTTAATTTTGATGGAATATTTTTTTTTAATATTTATTTGGAAAAAAGAAAAATATAAAAATAGAATTCTTTAAAATTCAATCGAGTTTTAAGTACATTATGCGTCTTATGAAGACTTTTTCAATCAAATTTATCAATAATATATCCATAATTAAATGTCTTATAAAAAAATTTGAATCGTTTAAAGAAATATATAAAACGTGTAAATAACGAATGGGTATAGAATTGCTTCTGTCTTTCAAATTGTATTATTATTTCAAAATTGTGGGAAAAAAAAGTTGTGTGGAAAAAGAATGAAACAGATCAATTTTTTCATAATGGTTACACACATAGAAGAACATAAAAATATACCATTTGTTTCTATGAGTTTGCAATACTTTATTTTGACTATCATAAGATTATTTATAATTAAAACACCCACACACGATTACTTGAAAATTAACTTTTAGACGAAGAAATTTTATAAATACAAATGCACAAATTACTTTCTCAATTTACTTTTTAAATATTAAGAGAACTTGTGATGCAAATTATAAATAGAATTTCTAAATACTAATATTAATTATTACATAATGTTAATTTATTATTGGCTTATGTTGATATAGAATTTTAATCCAATACTATTAATATATTAATATATTATTCTATTTATTAATTATTGATATATTAATACATTAATAATTATATTAATATTAGAGTATCATAATAGATCATAAATAAATTATATACAAAAATCAGAAAGCAATCCAATGCTCTGAAAGAATTCTCCTAATTTCGGTTTTTCAATTATTTTCAAATTTGATATTGTAAAATAATGAATTAATAAAAACTAAAAGATAGAATATCAAGCATAAAATAAGTATTTAATAGAATATAAAATTTTATTTGCATATAAAAATATTATTTTTTTTTTTTTGATATTCTCATATAATTTTGTTTTATTTGATAAAAATATTAGCAAAAATGGAAAAAAAATCATTCACGTGTTGTTTTAATTTTTTAAAAAAGAGAAAAATTATTTATTAAAAGTTTAAAATTTTTTAAATGAATTTAGTACACAAGAAATGTTGTATTGATTTTATGTTTCAAAGCTAGACCTGGAACATAATTCAGCTTTTCGAAATTTTCAAGAACCCCCGACATCCTCGAGATTCCCCACACGTTTGAGAATCCCAAAATTCTCAGGAATTTCACCTTCTATCAAGTAACAAAATATTTTTGAAAACTTGACTCGAATAAGTAAATTTCGTTTTACCTATTTCTTGTTTTATTCTTTTAAAATATTTTTTAATCCTCTAATCAGTAGAAATTTTTCATGTTAATATCATTACAACGATCATACAGGCAAAATAAAATAAGATTTTAAAAAAATTCATGTAATATCACGTAAATTTTAGATTAATTGGAATTACAAAATGGTTGAATCGATATGAATTACACGTCACAATCTACGTTTCAACGTATCTTGACAATGTTAAAATAACTTGAAAGTTATAATGAAGTTATAGCATAATTTCACTTTTTATTTATGATCTGAATCGTATCATACGCTTATCCAATACAAAATAATTCATAATTCGTCGTTTCTTAAATAAATCAATTTTTTAAATACAAATTAGCTAATTTAGTATATGTGAAAAATTGGTTATTTTATTTTGAACCACAGAATCCTCCTAACGTTATTTGTATCATGAATTATGGATCATATATTTATACATTGTTCGTATCGATCGTTGCATCTTATTTTTAGCTCTCTTATATCTACATTCGTTTTAGAAGAGGCATTGATATAATTTTCATTCTGAAATATCGTTCGATTTAATTTCCCCCTCTTTAAAACATCAGTTTATACTCATTGAAGAAACAATATTTCGAACGAAACTTTATTGGATAATTATAGGAATAACACGCAAAGAAAGGTTTTAATTTTATTTCGTGGAGCGAGACAGTGTATTGGCGAGCGAGCTTGCAATGCGACATTTTGCAACAACGTTAATCGCGAAACTTGGGCAGAATAAACGGCTCGCTCGTCGAATTAACTTGTTCAAAGATTATCTAAACTCGGTTTAATCGCGAATATCTTAGAAAATTTGATACCAAATTTGTAATCTCCCGCAATGCCTAATTAAGTTTGTGCAAATATTAGAAATTTTCAACGATAAATAAACGTTTATATTAAAATCAATTATTCATTGAGGATCGAGGATGAAATTTATCGTGAAACGAAATTATCGATTATCGTGTTAAAATAAATTTGATAGCTTGTTAAACACCTATTTAGATTTAATATCAGATTATTATTTATTTAGCCGCATACAATAACGAGTAATTTCATCGGGCAAAAAGGTTTAATCAACTTTTTAAATATCCGTTGAAACGATAGATAAAGGATTATATCAATGGTGAAATTCATAATTCATTGGTCCAGATTTATGAAGCAAAGTTATTGATTTTTATAAGGTTTCCAACCATAAGTTTTAGCTGTCAGGCTGGGAACGTTAATCGATGTTATTAAGCGTTGCAATTTATTTCATCGAGGGACTAACGAGATAGGTGCGGCTTAAGTTACTCGGTTCAGGAGATTTATACGTAATTTCAGGCATTGTTAGAAAATTGTCTTTGTTAACTCTTTAAGATTAAGAGTTAAGTCGATTCTTCTCGTTATAAATTAATATTCGAACAATTCTTTTTTTTTTTTCGTTTTCTAAATTTAAATTTTCCTCGTACAAATAATTGACGTAATTTTAATTAATATTTTAGGCACATCTAGAAAATTCTAGAAAATTTTTCAAGAAATTCGTAAGGGATTTTAATGATCCCACTCTCTTTTTTGTTAGATTTAGAACAGGATTTTTTTTAACGAAAGCAATTAAAAAATTAATCTTCTTAACAACGTCTTTCTAAATAAAGCATTATAATCTCGTGTAAAAATTGAAGAAAGCGTATAAGTATATAGGAATATTCAATTATTCAAGTTCTTAAGAAAATCGTCCAGAAATACTGCATTATAATTACCAATCTACATAAATAAATATTCCCGACAATTATAAACCGATTTCACGAAAATAAACAAATACAATTGTAATTACAATAATTGCAATAATTCTATCTCAATATATAACAATATTCAATAATGAACAGATCTTTCGTGATCGTTAAGACAAGAAAGAGACGATCGATAAAAGAATCGTACCATCGTGATCACAGTCTTGATGGCTTCTGCAGTAGCTTCTTCGCTCGAGGGTGTCTCGACGAGGGTGCTACCCAAATATTTGAGGGTGAACCTGGCCTCCGACGCGTCCTCGGGTTCATCGTGCGTCGTGCTTGCTGAACTTCCGCCTCCACGCACTCGCGACTGTTCGCCAGAGCCCATTCCTCGCATAGTTCTGTAATTTAATATCGAGCATCGTTACATAAACTTGTTCCACCATATCATCTAACCTTTGAATTCGAATATCGTGAAAGATTATTGTTGAAATAGTTGAATATTGAAATATGGAATTTTCTGTTCTGTGGCCACGAAAAAAAAAAAAAAAAAAATGCGAAAAGTGGAAAAAATGTTTTATGATATGATGCTTTTTTTTTTTCTTTTTTTCGATTCAATACAAAACATTATATACTGTCCATCCGTTTTTTTATTTATTCGCGCGTGTATACATTTTTTATATATTGTTATTTGCTTTTTTTTTTTATCGCTGTTTGATCGTTTAAGCTCCTCAAAAATCGATATCTCTGGGAATTTTTTCTGATTTTTGCTCAAAGTTTATTTAGACAGGTTTGTTTAGGTTTATTTAAGTTTGGATTAGGATCGAGATATATTAACATTTATCATAATGTTAATGATAAAATTATATTTAATAATAAGTGTCTTGTTGAAGTAAATACATAAGGAATTAATCTGAATAAATTTACAATTATAATATAAATTATTAGACTAATAGAAATAATAATATTAGATTGGTAATTAGATTTAGAAATAACTTTAAATTCATTATATATATATATATATAATTAATAAGATTTTAAATGTAAATAAAATACGTGATTGAATTAATCAAAAAATTCTTGGTAAAACAATAATAGGGAGAAATATAAATAATCAATTTAATGATATATAATTATTGAATGAATATTTCAAATAAATTTATCATAATCAATTTCATTTTTTTAAAGATTTTGAAGTTTTTTCAAATTTTAGATTAAATTTAAAAATATAAAAAATAATTAAGTAAAGAAAATAGATAAAAAATCATTTAGATATTATTTGAGGAATAAAATTCATTGGAAGTAATTTATTAATTTATTATATTTGATTTAAAAAATCAACTCTTAAACTTCAGACATCTAATGAATTTTTAAAAATAATTGTAATAAAAAATTAATTTTAATTTGACAAACTATAATGTTATTAATTTAACTAATTTTTTAATTATTTTATTGATTCAATTTAGAAATTTATTAAATGATGTTGATTCAATTATGATTTAGGTATAAATCTATGCATTTTTGTTATTATTAATGTATTTTTTTTATAATAATAATATTATTGAATTTTTTATTTTTTAATTTTAACATATCGAAGCATTTATATTGATAATGAAAAGAGAAATTTAATTATTTGTGATTCTTACGAACGATAAATTGAATAATAGGAGAAATACAACACCGCAAAAATATTTGGATATTGAGATTGCATAAGTTTTACATTAACGAAATAATCAACCAAATACAATTGTTTATTGAAGCAAGTAAATTGTTGTATTCGAATATTTTTACAAATTTCGTCATTCAATTTATTTATTGATTATGCAATATTGATAAAAATTTATGTTTCTGCTAATGGATTTCTGCTTCGATATATTATAAAAAAAAAAAACGATAAATTCAATAACGTTATGATAAATATAATGAAAAGCAATAATGTCTGGTGCATGTCCAATCATTATTGCGTGTTGTGCAATAAATTACGTTCCGTTAAAATTTACATATATTTGCGTCCATATTTGGGAAATTGTACAATATTATTGCCCTTATTTTTCAAAATTATTATTTCTAAAAATGTCGAAAGAATGCTCTCATATTATATTCTTCTTCTATACCACATATTCAAATAAAATAGAGGTTATAATAAAAGAACTGTCACATCATTCATATCAGATTACACACTTTTCTTCATGATGTGACAATAATTATCTCAAAGTTTACAAAAATTGAAGACAAAGTATTATATAGAATAGTGACAAATAAACTAGTAATTCTGATTAACACGAATAATAACAATATAAAGTTGGTGTAACACTTGGTTAATTAGATTTTATACAAAAGTAATAAATACATCTTGATATTCTTTTAAACAAATCGAGTTATCATATATTTAATAGGGAAAATAAAAATGGCGAATAATTAGATTTCTCTCACAAATTGGACAAAATGAACACGATAATAGTTACAACTTTGAAATTAGTAGTTGGTCGATGCAAACTAACTTTGGAAGGAAATGCAAAGTCCTGAAACCTGACCTGAATCACATTCTGATTGAGACTTGGGTTAATGGCCATTATGTTCTCATACGATGTATAAGGTGTTCGATAAGAAATGTACCTAAAATTTAAATTTAGATTCTCCAAATCAAAAAAAAAAAAAATGAAAAAAATCACGTTTTCATTTTCCTTTAAGATATCTTGGATAAACACGAATGAATATAAGTAAAAAAAAAGATAAATATCGAAGAACTCACTTTTGAATCTTATCTTTGCAACATTAGAACTGAACAGAAAATATCTTATTTTATTTAAAAAAGCCAAGAAGTTTTTTCGTTATTTTCATTTTCAAAACAGCTTATGTAAATAAAGAAACGTTTAAAACAAAAGATTAAATTCCATTCGTTATTTCTCTAAGAAAGAAATTTTCAATTCTTCCACTCTTCCAAAAATCAATATTCTTCGCGTTGCAATAATATTGCACGAGGTCCTATTGCACGTAACACAAACACAAACAACGCACGCATTATGCGAAATATATTATTCGCCATTGCAATTACGAGTTTCCAACAACTAGAGATAATAGATATAAGGGGTGTTTATCCAAGTCGAAACGTACGTTTCACAAACGTGTATATATATATATATATATATACATACACGAATGAAAATGTAACCAGCCTACCGAAGATAAATACAGACAATAGACGGAATGGGGGATGGCTGGTGTAACATTTAGTCCTGGTATGTACACACGTGCAACCACGTAAACCAGTCTCGTCCTATGACCGTGTCGTCGGGGATAGCACGTGTGCCAATAATGGGACGCATCATGCGGTATTCTCGTTCGACTCATCCCCTCTATCACGCCTTCTATCGATCATTCCATCGAAGATCGACCGATTCTGCTGCTTCCGACAAGCGACTCGTATCAAGGAGAATAGGTGGAAAAGTAGATTTGATCTGTGTTTTCGAACGTGGTCAATCGTCGATGGAAGCCTCGATTGGGTCGTGCTCGTCGAAAGATTTTGATGATGAGTTTACTCTTCGAGTAATAAACTCGAAGGGAATGAAAGAATATTTTGAGGAAAAAATGTCCTTTTAAAAATGTTTGAAAATGTTTGGTATGGGAAGTCGTATGTCTATTTTGATATTTTAATAATGGAATCGCGCAGCTTTTATAGAAAAAAAAACTGTAAGCTGCTGTTTGTATTTTAATTTAGAAGCTTGTGAAATTTAGTTATATGAAAAATAAGGAGAATACGAAGGGTGGAGTTTCCTTGTTCCTTATATGGCAAGTTTTATCAATTTCGAGATACAATATCTTCTAAATTGATATATAAATAGTTTAGTATTTTTGTGGAAAATAATGAACTACTACAAATCATGTATCTTATATTTTA